ACGGGAGGGACGGCGAGCCCAAACGTGAGACGGAGGGGTAGGGTCAGGGGACAGCGGAGGAGACACAGGAGGGGAACGAGGAGGAAGACGGGCCGGAGACGAGTCCGGCGGCGGGAACACAGGACCGTAGACAGGGAGGTCAGGAGGCGGTGGGGGAGACACCGGCGCGCGGTCCGGGGAGGGAAGGCCGAGCAGGCGGAGAGCGGAAACCGGCGGCGACGGCTGCTGCGGCGGCGACGACGGCTGGGCCGGAACTCTCGGACCAGCAGAGGCAGAACGACCGTCGGCAGAACACTCAACAGCAGCACCCCCAGAACCAACACCCCCAGAGCGAGAACCCCTCCAACACCAGCGGCACCCCCAGAAGCCGCAGGACGAACACCCTCCTCCACACCAGCACCCCCAGGGGCCGAGAGCAGCGGCGGCAGTGGCGGCAACGGCTGCGGCGGCGGCGACAGCGGCGACGGCTGCGGCAGCGACAGCGGCGGCGGCGGCGACGACAGCGGCGACGGCTGCGGCGGCGACGGCGACGGCGGCGGCAGCGGGGTCGGCGACTGCGACAGTGGGGGCGGAGGCACCGGGGAAGGGGGACGCGGCAAGGACGGACCGGGGGTACCACTAGAGTCAGCAGACTCCTCAACGGGGACAACCGACGGGAGGGGAGTGACGTGGGAGACACCAGACGGGGCAGGACGAGGCGGGAGAGGGGCAGGGGCTACCGGGGGAGAGGGAGCAAGGAAAAGGGGGGGGCAACTGGGAGACCTCGGTGAGGGAAGCGGCGGTAGAAGGAGACGGACTCATCAAAGGTGACGTCACGAGAGTGGAGGAAGCGGTGAGACGGCGGGTGGTAGAAAAGCCAGTCAGACGAGTCCAGGGGGAAACCGAGGAAGACACAGGGGACAGTGCGGGCAGTGAGCTTGTCCGTGCCAGAGGCACGAACGTGAGCAAGGCAGCCCCAGACGTGGAACGCAGACGCGTCACCGGGGGACCCGGTCCAAAGGAGGGTCGGCGAAACCTGCGGCCGCTGGGAGCGTGGCCACAGGTTAAGCTGGTGAGCCGCGTAGCGAACAGCGAACGGCCACAGAAAATGGGGGGCATCGGCATGGATCATGGAGGTACGGGCGACCTCCATGACCAAGCCGATGCGGCGCTCAGCAACCCCATTCTGCTGTGGCGAGTCCGGCAACGTGTACGACTGGGTGATGCCCTCCGCACGACAGAACTGTCCAAGCCGACCAGAGGCGAACTCGCCGCCACGGTCGGAGTGGAGACACAACACGGGGAGACCGCGGTGGAGACGCGCAGCCACAACCCACGGGAGAAGAACGTCGGGCACGTCGGCCTTCCGCTCCAGGGGAAACACCGTGGTGTAGCGCGTGTAGTCGTCGACAAGCACAAGGAAGTAGCGCTCACCGCGCGGTCCGGGGACGGGGGCAGGGCCCCAAACGTCCAAGTGCAGGGTCTGAAGGGGGGCAGTAGCAGGACGCAGCGAGGAGGAGTGAGGAGCACGGCGGAGCCGACCCTCGACGCAAGGCGTGCACGGTGGCGCAGTCGAGGGAGGAAGGGCAGGGAGCGACGCGGGGAGACCTAAGACAAGACCGTGCTGGGACATGTGACGCAGACGCGGGAGAGCAGGGTGACCTAAGCGGTGGTGCCAGAGAAGGGAGGGGTGAGTGAGGGACCGACACGAGCAAGCTGCAGCGACCTGGGAGGACGCACCAACCGGGGGGGAAGCGGTGTGTAGGGTAAACAGACCGGACACCGGGTCCCGGGGGAACGTCGCAAGGGGGGAACCTGAGACAGCCTCAGAACAGACAGCGAACCGCTCGTGCCCGGGGAACGTGGTGGTGACGCCGAGGTCCTGGAGACAGCCGACACCAACCAGGTTCCTGGAGAACGAGGGAACGTGGAGGCCAGTAAGGGAGCCCGAGGGAACTGCCGGACAGGGAAGGGACGTAGAACTGCGCGCGACGACCGGACCCGCAGAGGGGTCGGCGAGAGAGACAACAGCAGGTGCAGCAAGCGGCGTGAGCGTGGAACGGTCGCGGAAGAAGCAGGCAGAAGCACCAGAGTCGAGAGTGAAGGACAGCGACGCAGTGGCGGGGGCCGGGGACGGAGCCGGTGCAGCGACTAGACTAGGCAACCTAGGCAGTCCTACGCCTGTCGCAGCAGGGGAAGCTAAGCTACACAAGGGGACAGCAGCAGCAGCAGCCGTCTCGGGAAGTGGGGTCGCCGTGGCGACCGCAGCCGAAATGTCAGTGAACGTGCACGGGGATGGGGCACAGCCGTGAAAGATAGAGACTGGCGGCGCACCGCTCGACTGAGCGATAGTGCGCTGGCGAGTCTCGATCTCAGTGAGGGTGTCGACAAAGGCGGTCAGGGTGAGGTCACCCGGGTGCTGGCTAAGAAAGTGGTCGCGAGCACTAGCGAGGCGGTCTGGCAGGCGCATAGCGATAAAATAGAGCGTCATGCAGAAAGGAGGGGGGAGCGCAGTGAGCTGGGCAGCAGTGCTGGCAGTGCGATAGCGAGTCTCTAGGGCACGCAAATGAGTGGCAAAATCTGCGACAGTAGGGAAGGCAGCCAGGTCTGGGAACAGCATCGGAAAGAGCAAGCGGCCAGCAGAAGCGGAGGCAGGGGTGGAATAGCGAGCAATAACGGCGTCTAAATAAGCTTTGGCCGTTTCAACAGTAGCAAAACGCGAGCGCTCAGACACAGGGAGGGCGTGACTAATAGCAACCTGAGCTACTGCATCGCGTGAGTCCCAGATCGCACAGGCCAGCGCAGCAGTAGAGAAAGCCTCACGGTCATCAGAGGAGGGGTCAGCAGGGAGGGGAGTAGGTGCAGGGGGACGGGGGAGCAAGCCATCAGCATGGACAACCAGAGAGTGGCCATCCTGGCGCTGACCTGTAAGCTGGCGGCGAAGATCGGAGAGCCAGGCGGCGAAGTCAACCGCGTGGCCCTCAGCGTCCAGGCGGAGCACAAAGTCAGCCATCGTGCAGGGTCAGCGGCACAGCTCCTCAGCGACACAGCGGCACAGCAGCACAGCTCCTCAGCGGCACAGGAGCACAGCGGCGCGGGGACACGGCGGCAGCACTCTCCAGTAGGGCAGCAGCTAGGCGTCCCAGCGCAGGCAAGCAGAAGACACAGGGCCCGAGAGGACACGGCAGGCCGAGCAGGGGAGGCGGGCAGGTGCTCTGGGGACGGGCTGGTGCTGGGAGGGGCCAGGCTGGTGCTGCTGGGGCCGGTCGGGCACGAGGAGGGGCCGGGCAGCGCTGAGGAGAGGCCGGGCGGCGCTAGGAAGGGGCCGGGCGGCACTAGGAGGAGGCCGGGCGGCACTAGGAGGAGGCCGAGCGGCACTAGGAGGAGGCCAGGCGGGCGAGCGCTAACAGCAGGCGCGACAGGGGCCAGCGGGCGCGACGGGGCCTAAGGGGCGCGACGGGGCCCAGCGGGCACGACGGGGCCCAGGGGGGGCGCGACGGGGCCGAGGAGGCGCGACGGGGACCAGCGGGCACGACGGGGCCCAGGGGGGCCGCGACGGGGCCTAACGGGCGCGACGGGGCCCAGGGGGGGCGCGACGGGGCCTAGCAGGCGCGACGGGGCCTAGGAAGCGCGAAGTGGCCGAACGGGCGCGACGGGGCCCAGAGGGGGGGGACGCGACGGGTCTTAGGAGGCGCGACGATGCCTAGGAGGCACGACGGGGCTCAGCGGGCTCGACGGGGCCCATGGGGGGCGCGACGGGGCCTAGGAGGCGCAATGGGGCCCAGCGGGGGCGCGTTAGGGCCTAGGGGTCGCGACGGGACCCAGCGGGCGCGACGGGGCCTAGGGGGAGCGCGACAGGGCCTAGGAGGCGCGACGGGGCCCAGCGGGCACGACGGGGCCCAGGGGGGGCGCGACGGGGCCTAACGAGCGCGACGGGGCCCAGGGGGGGCGCGACGGGGCCTAGGGGGCGCGACGGGGCCTAGGAGGCGCGACGGGCGGAAGCGGTAGGCGGGGGGATCCTAACCTAAGCGTGATACCATGTTAACGTAGAAACGAATGATTACTAGAGGTGGAAACCTAGAACAAATACTAGTTGGTTGTACTCACTAGAAGCATACCTCAGTCTAGCCTATAACTTCTACATAGATAATATGTATAAGTTGACAGGACCGGCTTCCTCGGATTGGCTGCAAATGCAGCACGTCATGACGTTATCGCCAGGCTGGCCCGACTGGAGGTTGGGAATCGTCATCCAAACCTCGCTTAAGGTGTCATCCTGTACTGTGCATGTATTTCTGCATGTTACGCCCCAAATTCATTTTGCATTATACATAAGACATGGGCGTTATATTTTTCCAGCCTACTGTTAACACCCCTTCGTTTTTTTAATGAATTTTTGACAATACCCTAGGGTGTTATATACGGGGGAATACGGTATTTCTTGCTGTGGGGACTTAGCCGAAATTTCAGGGTCGCAAGAGGTGTGGGAGGGATGTGTCTGTCTGTGGGGACTTGGTCGAATTTCTGTGGCTGCGAGGTGAGTAGGGGAGAAATGTGCTGGGGGGGAACTATCTCTGGCTGCTAGGACTTAGCCGGATTTTTTAGGTTGCGGGGCGGGGTGTGTGTGAAAGGACTTGACTCTGGCCCTTGGGGACGAAATTTTTGGGTGAGGGCAGGGAGGTGCAGTACTAGTATGTGTGTCTCAGGGTCCGTACACGCTGCGCTCTGAAAACTCAGTATCCGCAAACTGCGAAGTCTGAGATTCTCAGGATTCAAAAACATATAAGTCTGAAGGGTTCAGCATTCAGAAAATGGCAAGTCTGAAAAATCAGGATCGGCAAAAAAATAGGTCTGAAATTTCAGACAATCAGACTAAAATAGTCTGATAAAATCAGCCCTGGTCGTGACCCTATAGAATGACAAATAGGTCGCACAACGCCCAACTTGCCGAACAGGTACTTATTCCCAAGAGCTATAAATCCTTGTAATGCCTTTCTATTATTAACCTTGACTTTCCACAGAATTATGTGCTCAGGTTATTCAACCTTCGACTACCCACAAGTTCATGTGCTCAGGTTCACTCTTATAAGACTTCCGCTGTCTTACTAGTTGACCATTCCAGAATTACGATCCTTACAAGTACTATCGAGTAGTAGAGATACTACTATACCCAAGGCTTGACTCAAGCAGATTCTGTACTTAGTCTCCTTCACCATCTCGTCAAATTCCTTTCACCCTCCACCGTCCCCCCCCTCCTCCACGACTACCAATTCATGCGCGCCCACAAGAGCTCCCAGCCCTGCTGTGGGGTCTGATCCATGGCCTCCCATGTCCAGCCTGCTCACCACCTCCCTCTCCACCATCGCCAGCGCCACCGCCACCTGCGTCCACTCGTACTGCAGCGCACACTTCTCCCTCAACGCCCCCACTGTGCCACTCCCCCCCACCACTGCCACCCGCTCCTGCCACCGCCCCACTCTCTCCTCCAAAGGCAGATCCTCCTCGCACACTCTCTCCACCTCGCCCTTGGCTCCCTCCAAAGCTCGTCCACCCTCCTCCGTGCACGAAGTACCATTCAAGTGCTCAACCCTAGAACCTGCTACGTTCTTTGCCCCACTCCCGTTCACCAGCACACAGCCTTCCCCACGAGCCCGCGCTTGCAGAATTCCGCCGCGACTGCTATCACCCATAGCACGCTCTTCATCACTGCCCGCTGTAGCCCCTCCCACACCATTGCTGCCAGCGTGCACGTCCATGGCATTCATGGTTGACCACGGCGTGAGGGACCTCTTAGTGGCATGGGGTGGCAGTGAAGGGGGAGAGGAGGAGTAGGAGAGATGGCAGGAGGCGGATGTGATGTCTGCTGTCAGTTGCCGAGCATGGGCAACGGCCTGACGGGGGGTTGGGGGTAGGGGGAGGGGGGGAGGGAAGGGCGTGCATTCGTTGATGCGCTGCAGTCGCACCAGGACTGCATGCATCCGCTTGCATGGTCAGTGGCAAGCAATGGCTGCAAGCGCATCACACCTCTCTTGAACCCTCGCCCTCCCTCCCTTCCCCCCTCCCCCCTTCCCGTGGTGCAGCACGCACCTGGTTGACATGCGAGAGGCATGTCTCAAGCTCCTGTCGGTTGGTGGCCCATGAGAGCGCCGCTACCTCACTCGCCTGTGCTGCTGCCTGCACGTCCCTCGCCGCTGCTGCTGCCTCTCCTGCTAGCAAGTCATACTCTGGCACAAGGGGGCACGTCACGGGATGGAGGGGGCAGGAAGGCGGGGGGAACGGCAAGAGAAAATGAGGGAGCTTCAGGGGGATAGGGAGAGAACAAGATGAGAGGAGAATGGGGGGGCCCTGAGAGAACCAGCCAACGTTTTCAAGTCTCGGGGAGAGATGGAGAGGGAGAAAGAGTGAAGGCAGTACAAACAAGGGCTGAGCCATTCCCTCCAAGACAGACCTTTGAAAGGGGAGGGGGGTGAAGAGAGGGGTAAATGCAGGTGAAGAGGTAAGGGAATAGGTTGTGAGAGGAGAGCAAGCAAGGAACTGCAGGGCATGAGTGTGTGAGTCCACACGTGTGTGTGCACGGGTTGACAAGTGCGTGAGCAGTGGCAGCATGCGCGGTCGCACCTGCTTCGAGTCTGAGCAGGCTCTCGAAGGGCAGGTCGACGCGCATGGCCTTGCACACCAGCTCCTCCATGTCCTCCTCGCTCATCTCCTGCCACCCCGCACCCACGCACACACGGGCCATCGCCACACACACGGGCCATCGCCACACACACGGGCCATCGCCACACACACAGGCCATCAGCACAGGCAGGTTCAAAATGCAGGCAGAGTGGGGAGGAGGCGCTTAGGCGCATGAACACACAAGATCTTGGGCCATCTGTGGGTTGCTGCAGAGACACAGCAGGGTGGGGTGAGCAGCGGGGAGCGGCAGAGACGAAACGAGTATGCAGCATTCTCAGAGAAGTGGATGCAGAAGGGACGGGGTGGATGCAATACGGAGCAGTGATAATGTCAAAATGAACAAGGGACGGGCCCTGCAACTCGAGCTTCGTAGAGAGATAACTGGAGGTGTGATGTAGGCTCAAGTACCTTGAGCTGCGCGGGCAGCTCTGTTCTGAGCAGACACATGGCATACTCCATCTCCGGACACTGCTGCAACTGCCGCCGGCACACCTGGTAGGGGGCGTGGGGGAAGAGGGATGGAGAAAAAATACAGGTGGGAGGAGAGGAGAGGTGGGCGACGGGAAAGATGGAGCGAGAGGAGGTGGAGAGGGGGAGCAGAATTGAGGGCCAGCAGGTAGCATGGCGGTCGCATGAGGCGAGTAGCGTATGGAGGGAGGGTGAGTGGGTGAGGAGGTAGAGATTGAGGGTGTGACCGTGTGTGAAGGGTGTGCAGCACATGGGCGGGCAGTTACCTGCAGCAGCACGATGGCTAGCTTGAAGACAATGGCTGTGGTCTGCTCAGCTGCACACACAACAAGGGACCGGAGGAAGGGGGGTGGATGAGAGCGAGCGAAACTAGTATTGTCCCGCGCAAACAAAGACGGCAGGGGAGAGGCGAGTAAGAGGGCAGCAGGGAAAGCATATGCGTGGCTAGACGATAGCAGTGAGTGAAGGAGGCGGGGGCAATGGGAGGATCTGAAAGGGTGTACTAGGGCGGCAATGCAAGAGGCAGCGGTGAGCAGCGAGTGCAGCAGGTGCACCACACGCGCTGCATTGGAGTGACAGCAAGCCAAAGCCGCTGCCTCCATGGCAACATTCGCCAGGAGTACACATGGGCAATGGTGGAGGGAGGCGACCTGCCTCGCCTCAGTTTTGAGGAGAGGCGAGAGCATCACTCGAGCCGAGTGATTTTCTCAAAACCTCGCCTCGTTTACTCGTACTCGGGGTGAGCAACTTTTCCTCGTCCAGAGGCGAGTATTACTTGCCTCGAGGCCTGGGCCCCCCAAAGACATTTTAGTACCCGCCCGCACAGATCTAACGCGCGAAATGCCCACCCGCGCTGGTACAAAATTGACGAGTAAAAACATTACTCGCGAGTAATGTGTACTCGAGAGGAATGTTTTACTCGCCCGTGCAGGCGAGTAATCATCGAGTACTCGTTTACTCACCTTGCCTCGAGGCGAGTAGTTCTTTGGGCGGCCCACCTCGTTTACTCGGGAACCCCAGCCAAGGAATCGAGGCGAGTAATTACTTGCCTCGACTGCCCACGTATAGCCAGTATGACGCTATCTCACCAGGAATGATGACAACTCAACAAGAATGACGTCAGCACACCAAGAATGACATCAGCACACCAAGAATGACGCCAGCTCACCCAGAATGATGTCGAAGACTCGGAAGACGAGGTAGTGTGGCATGGTGCGAGCGAAGAGAGTGAGGAACCAGTCTGCTGCGTACATGACCTGATGCCGTGGCATGCATGGGGAGAGCGGAGACGGGAGGGAACGCATGGAAGGGAAGCGCGGTTGATCTGGTGTAGGGCTGACGTTTCAATCCCAACGCAGCCACACAGAGTGGTGCTGTGCGGCGTGGTGCTGGAACACAACAGCTGACCCACACCAGGAGGTAGTGCGCCATGGCAAGGCATGGCATGGCATGGCATGGGGCACATACGGGTTTGATTTCGAGGTGTTCGAAGAAGGCATGCACGCGCGGCAGCACATCGATGAGCAGCTGGGTGAGCTGGTACATGCGCAGTTGCAGCTGAGGGGCCATTCACGCACATGCACCGCCATGCACACACATGCATAGCCATGCACGCACGTGCCGCCATGCATACACATGCACAGCCATGCACACACATGCACAGCCATGCACACACATGCACACACATCCACGCACATGCGTACACATGCACACACATGCGCACACATGCACGCACATGCACATACAAGCACGCATGTGCACATACATGCACACACGTGCACACACATGCACTCGCATGCACACACACATACATGCACGCATGGACACACACACACATGCGTCGCACCCACATGCACACTCATGCACACACATGCACATGCATGCACGCACATGCACACGCATGCACACACATGCACACGATGCGTGTGCATACACACACATACATGCACATGCACATGCATGCACACCCATGAACATGCATGCACACACATGCACACACATGCACACACATGCATGCAGGAGGGGACGGGGGAGGGGTGTGACATGTAAGAACGATGCACGGAAGCAAAGCCTTTAATGGCACGGATGGCATCGTAACGGGATGGTGAAGGCATGCATGGGATGTCAAACACATGTCAGTCGTGCACTCTGGGCATGTGTTGCAGTTAAAGCCGCATCTGCTGCATGTGTGGCAGTTAAAGCCCCACCTGCTGCATGTCTGGCAGGAAGACCCCTCGGAGGCCGCAGCGGTACATGAGGAAGACGAGGCAGGTGAAGGCGTGCTCCTCGCCCATGTTCATCAGCAGCGTTGCCGCTATGAACCCCATGCCCTGCCGCCCCGCACTCCGCCGTGCACACACCAATGGGCCAGGGGAGACGGTCGCGGGGATTGAGGGAGGTGGGGAGGAAGTGGGCGGAGGGGGCAGCAGGGAGGAGCAGTGTTGGAAAGAGGGAGAGGAGGACGAAAGAAGGGGGGAGAGAGAGACGGAGAGGATGATGGAGGGGTGTAGGTAGACATGGGCAAAAAAAATCGCATCGCATCGCATTTAATCGCGTTTTTGCGATGGCGATGTTTTTTTTTTTTTTTTAATCATCGCGCGATGCGATGAATTAATATCGCGCGATTTAATTTAAATCGCATTTTAATCGCGCTTAAAAAACGCGATTTAAATGCGATGTGCGATTTTTTTAAAATTGCGCGCGATATTGCACTGAAACCCACTCTGAAACCCACTACGAAACCACACTGGTTATTTGCACTCTAGCTTACGACTGCCCGTGAGTCAATTTCCCCACAGCCATGGTTTTTTCCTGTTTTTTTGGGGTGTTTTTTAATTCTGTTTTAAAACGCGATGCGATTTAAAATCGCATTTTGCGATTTAATTAAATATCGCATGCGATTTATTAATACATCGCGGGTAAAATGCGATGTGCGATTTTTTTTTTTTTGGAAAAATAAATCGCGCGATGCGATTTAAAATCGCATCGCTTTTTTAAACATCGCACCTGCATGCGATGCGATTTAAATCGCAATCGCGTTTGGATCATGTCTAGGTGTGGGGGAGGATGGAGGAGGGAGTGGAAAAGTGAGGAAGAGGCAATGAGACAGGGATTGCAGAAAAGACGATGGTGAAGTTAGGCTTGAGCATGAAACCGACCTGACCCGACCCGACCCGACTTTGCCCTACCCGATGTCGGGTCGGGTCGGGTCAAGTCGGGTCGGAGTTCAGGAAATGTCTGAAGGAACTAGCTTGGAAGAGAAAAGATTGGATTGAGTAGGGAGCCAAGAGGCTCTTTTTGTACAAAACAAGGAGCAAGAAAGAGTTGGAAGGGAAGCTCTCCTATTGGCCATAAAGTGGACCAATGGGGGAGGTTGCTTGTAGGGCAAGCAACCACAAAAGTGTGGTGCTCTCCTATTGGTCACAATGTGGACCAATGAGAGAGATTGCTTGGAAGGCAAGCAACCACAAAGTGTGGTGCTTGGTGATTGGTTGGTTCCTAGGACCAAAGACCATTTGGTTGGAATAGTGCCAACCAAATGTCTAGGACCAAATCCAATCTTGACCAACCCAAATGTGGGGTTGGTCAACCCAACCAACAACCCCCCAATAATTATAATGACTACACCTCCTAATCTAGGCATGCATGTTGTATAGATATATATGTTACAACACAACCCCCCAACATGCATAAGACTAGAGGGCTTGAATCAGGAGGCGGACGAGGGAACGGGGGGAGCGAGGCCAAGAAGGCGAAGGAGGGATGAGTGGGCGGCGTGGGGGAGGGCTTTGGTGAAGATGTCGGCAAGATTGGCAGCAGAGTCAATCTTGCCCAGCTGGAGGTGGCCACCCTGCACAAGCTCGCGAATGAAGTAGTGGCGAAGCTCAATGTGCTTGGAGCGCCCGTGGAACACAGCATCCTTCGTGAGGTGGATGGTGCTGGCGTTGTCGCACCAGATGGTGGGACAGCGCTGAGGGGCACCAAGCTCCTCAAGAAGGAAGGAGAGCCAGCGGGCCTCCTGCGCAGCCATGGTAGCGGCATACAGCTCTGCTTCGCAGGAGGAGAGGGCAATGGAGGAGGAGCGGGTGGAGCGCCAGCTGATGAGGCCGCTGCCAAGAGAGAAGCCATAGCCCTGAGAGGAGCGGCGGTCAGGCCTAGAGTCAGCCCAGGAGGAATCAGAGTAGCCAGTGAGGAGGGGAGGGGAGGGGCCGCCAAGGGTAAGGACGTAGTCCTTGGTCCCCCGAAGGTAGCGGAGGACACGCTTGGCCGCTTGCCAGTGGGCGGCATCATGCTTGCCGGTACCAACGAAGCGGGCCAAAACGCTGATGGGGTATGCTAGGTCAGGGCGGGTGGAGACCATGGCATACATGAGAGAGCCGATGAGCTCAGCGTAGGGGTGGGAGGAGGAGGAGGGGGAGGTGAGGGGAGTGAGATGGTGCCCAACAGGAAGAGGGGTGACCTGAGGGGTGCCTCGAGCCATGTCGAACCGCTCCAGGACCTGCTGCAGGTAGTGGCCCTGGGAGAGGGAGATGGTGCGAGCAGCACGGTCGCGGGTAATCTCCATGCCGAGATAGTGCTGCAGCCCCCCTAGATCCTTACACTTGAGCCGGCTGCCAAGCTCACGCTTGACGCGCTCGAGCTCGGCGGAGTCGGCAGTGATGAGGATCATATCGTCGACATAGACGAGGATGTAGAAGGGGGAGGGGGAGGTGCGGAGGAAGAGGCTGGGGTCGGCACGGGAGGTGCTGAAGCCAAGCTCGGCGAGGGTGGCAGCAAGCTTGGCATGCCATTCCCTTGGTGCCTGCTTGAGCCCATAGACCGGCCGACGCAGCTGCCAGACAGAGTCGGAAGGAAAGGGGAGGTGGAAGCCTGCAGGACGCTCCATGTAAATGAGCTCGCGCAAGACCCCCTGGAGGAAGGCGTTGGAGACGTCCATGGAGTGAATCTCCATGTTGAGGCGAGCAGCGAGGTCGAGGACTGCGCGAATGGTAGCCGGCTTGGCGGTGGGAGAGAAGGTGTCGAAGAAGTCGACAGCGTAGCGCTGGGTGAAGCCCTTGGCGACGTAGCGGGCCTTGTAGACCGGCGGCTCGCCAGGAAGCTGCTTCACCCGAAACACCCACTTCCCTTTGACTACGTTCGTGGTAGAGGGAGGGCGGGGCACATCCACAAAGGAGGAGTTGGCAATAAACGCCTCCAACTCCTTGAGGATGGCCGCGAGCCAGAGGTGAGCGTCAGGGCACGCCATGGCCTCCTCGTACGTGGCGGGGACGAAGATGGTGGGGGCGGAGGAGAAGGCGAAGACTGGTGTGCCGCTGAGGTCAGGGGAGATGGGTAGGACGGCTGGATCATGCATGTGGAGGTTGAGGAACTCCTCATGGGAGTCCTCGAGGAGGGAGGAGTGGAAAATGAATGGGAGGACTGCTGCTGCTGCTGCTGCTGAGGATGCATCTGCTGCTGCTGCTGCTGAGGCGGCTGCTACTGCTGCGTCTGCTGCCGCCGCTGCTGCTGCTGCGGGTGAAGGCGAGGAAGAAGTGACGGCTGCTGCTGCTGGTGCTGCTGCGGTGGGTGGAACTGCTGCTGCAGCTGTTGCTGCTGCTGTTGGGACTGCTGTACTGGAGCTCGACGGCAGGGTTGGGCTGGTGTTTTGTTGTAAGACTGTCTGAAAAAGGAGGTCCATGAGAGGGGAGAGAGGAGGCAAGGTAGAGGAAGAGAGGATAACAGGAGGCGGGGCACCTAGGACTGCGTCACGCGACCTGGTGTGGGGATACCGGGTGAGGATGGAGCGGGTGGGACGCAGGGGGGGAGGGGGTCGCGGGGGAGAGGGGGGAGGAGGGGAGGGGGGAGGATGGGAGGGAGCGGAGGGGGAGGAGTGGGACGGGGAGGCGGGGGGGAAAAAAGGGTCAGGGTCAAATATGTCACCAGAGGAGGGGGGAGCACTAGGGGCCGAGGCGGCGGGGAATGGAGGAGGCGGAGCGGGGGGGAGGATGGGAGGGGGAGGGAGAAGAGGGGGTGGGATAGTGTCGGACCAGTTGAGGGGCCTGGGAGAAGGGGCGAGAGGGTCAGTGGGGGGAGGAGTGGAATAGTAGGGTGTGGACTCATCAAAGACTACATCCCGACTGCGGAGGAAACGACCTGAGGGGGGGTGAAGGAAGAGGTAGTCCGGGGAGGAGGGATTATGACCAAGGAAGATGCAGGGGAGGGTACGGGAGGCGAGCTTTCCCATGGTGCGGGGGCGGTCCGCAGGGTGAATGAGGACATACGCCCTGGAGCCCCACACACGGAGGGAGGAGACGTCAGGCTTGGCCGACGTCCAGAGCTCGGTGGGAGTGGTGGAGGGAAGGATAGGGTGGGGGTACAGGTTAGTAAGGAGGGTGGCGTGAAGGAGGGCATAGCCCCACAGAGAAGGGGGGCAAGAGGCATGGACGAGGAGACACCGAGCAATCTTGGTGATCTCCCGAACACGGCTCTCGGCCACACCGTTCTGCTGGGGGGAGTGGGGGAGGGTGTGAGTCTGGCGAATGCCATGAAGCTCACAGTAGGAGGCTACCTGACGATTAAGGAATTCGCCACCGCCATCAGAGTGAAGGCGGCGCACAGGGCGGCCAAAGTGGGTGCTCGCCTGCTTGAGCCAGGCGATGATCGCAGTCGGAGCGTCACCCTTCGAGCGAAGAAGGGAGACGGAAGAATATCGGCTGTGATCATCGACCAGAACAAGCATGTAGCGATGACCCTGGCGGGAAGGGGAGGGGTTGGGGCCCCAGAGGTCCATGTGAACAAGATCAAGCGGCTGAGCAGCAGCGGAGGGGGAACTCCGATGCGGCAGCTGCTTGAGCTTGCTCTGGACACAGACGGAGCAGGGAGGGGCAAGGGAGGGAGGGAGGGGAGGGAGGGTGAGGGGAAGACCTCGAAGGAGACCTGAGGAGACGGTCGAGCGGAGGGTGGCAAAGTTGGGGTGACCAAGCCTGTGGTGGAGGAGGACGGTGGGATGGGAGAGGGATCGACAGGAGCAGGTTGGGTCAGGGGGGAGGGGGGGAATGGTTGGGTTAGAAGGAGGGAGAGGAGGGGGGAGATGTGAGGTGGGAGGAGGGAGCGGGAGACTGCCTGGGCAGAGGGAAGACGAGGAACTCGAAGGGTATATAGGCGGGAGCGAGGACAAAAGGGAATACGGGAGAGGAGGCGACCTGTGGGATGGTATAGGAGGCAGTGATTAGCGCGACCTGGGAAGACGGTGGTGATACCGGCCTGCTGCAGGGATCGCTGGGAGAGGAGGTTAGTACGGAGGGAGGGGATGTGTAAACCAGTGACGGTACCTGAGGGGAAGAGGGGACAGGGGAGGGTAGAGGTGTGGCGACAGGGAATAGAGAAGCTGGAATCGGCACCAAGGAGGGAGGTGGGGGCTGGGAGAGGGTGAAGGGTACCAGCATCACGAAGGACGGACTCGGTGGCTCCACTGTCAAGGACAAAGTCCAGCGTGGTGGAGGGGGGAGGATGTGGGGGAGGAGGTGGGACGGAGTACTGAATCACATTCTCATTAATAGCAGCCGAATACATGGAAGGGGCGGGGGTTCCAGCCTGACTAACCATGCCAACAAAACCAGAGGAGGGGAAGGGAGTCACACTGCCTGTGGCTGAGGGCGCGGGAGACGCGCCCGAGAGGTGAGCTGCGGAAGCGGCGGTGCCGGCGGTCCAAGCGGGGTAGGGCTGCTGGGGGGGAGCCATAGGAGGAGGTGCAAGGGGGAGCTGCGACTGGAGGTCAAGCTGTTGCTGGAGCTGGTGGAGCTGCTGCTGCAACTGGGAGAAGAGGTGATGCTGCCCCTGCTGCTGCTGCTGCTGGAACTGCTGCTGCTGCTGCTGGAACTGCTGCTGCTGCTGCTGAAACGGCTGCGGCAGGATCTGCTGCGGTGTCTGCTGCTGCTGCTGTTGCTGAGAGATGGCCTGGTGGGCCAAGGGGGAGGAGACGGGCTGAAAAAGAGGGGAGGTACGAACCTCCTGAGGAGTGGGGCGAGGAGAGAGGGAGGACCAGCGGGGGGGGGTGCCGGTGTTGCCGCGGGCAAACCACTCATCACTGAGCGCTTTGAAGCAAGAATCAGTGGCATGAGTGGTCTGGCCGCAGCGCTGACCCCGCGTGGGGCCATAGCGAGGGAGATACTGGCAAGGAGGAAAGGGGGCTGCTGCACCACGTCCTGCGCCATTGGTACCACGACCCGCGCCACCACCACGACCAGCGCCACGCCCTCCCCCACGCCCTCCCCTGGTGTTGCGCTGCTGAGCAACAGCGGCAGTGGAGGAGGAATGGCGCAGGAGGTCGGCCTCGGTGGTGATAATCCACTGGGCGACTTCAGCCGGGGTGATGCGCTTGTCGATCAGCTGCATGTAGGCGATCTTATGGGTGTCGAAGGCAGAAGTCAAGCCTTCAAGGAGGTGGCAGCAGAGCACAGGGTCCGGGTACGGTACGCCAAGAGCCGCCAGGCGCCGAGCGAGGTCGAGGACGCGACGCGTGAAGGCAGCTGCGCCGGTGGTAGAGTCCATGGTGAGGCTCTGGAACTCCTTGATGAGGGAGTAGAGGGTGGCGACGTCCTGCCGATCATAGAGATCGGTGAGGACCCGCCAGAGGTGGGAGGAGGAGGTGGGAGCAAGCTCGCGCTTGAGGGTGGGAGGAATGGTGGCGAGGAGGATGGTGAGCGCGCGCCGGTCAGCGACACGCCAGGCAGCGAGGTCGGTGATGTATGCGCGCTCGCGACTGACGTACTCCGCGAGCGCCGCCTGATACGTGTTGTAGGCGGCAGTGGCGGCGTCATGCTCGGCGCGGGAAGCCTCGAAGAGCAGCTGCTGGCGGACGTGGTCGGTGAGGCCGGCACGGTAGGTGCGGATGGCGGTCTCGGAGCTCTGAGGGTCGTTGACGTCAGGGGCGAAGGTTGGAGGATCGCCGGGGCTGACGGGAGGATCGCCAGGAGGAGGAGGTGCAGGGCCCGCGGGTGCATCCGGCTGGGCAGGCTGAAGACCGCGCTCCTCGAGATGGACAACGGCTTTCAGGTTGTAGCCGTTGACCGTCACCGAGGAGAGAAGCACCGTGACGGTTTGGGCATAGGAATGCCAATTGACCGCGGTGTTGTCGGGCAGCAGCTCAAGAGCGTCGACGGAGGTAAAGTCCACGGAGGAATCGGACGCCATTGAGGAGGAGGGGAAGGAAGGGGGGGGGGGGGGGGGGGGGGGGGAGGAGGAGGAAAAGGGAAAGGAGGAGGAAAAGGGAAAGGAGGAGGAAAAGGAAAAGGAGGAGGAAAAGAGAAAGGAGGAGGAAAAGGGAAAGGAGGAGGAGAAGGATAGGTGCGCGGAGCGCAGCTCTTAAGTCGCCGAAGGCGACTTAAACGAGCTGCGCGACGCGCTCCAAGGAGGATGCGGCGACCGGCTGCACGTCGAAACGGCGCGACGAACGGGAGCACGCGACGGTAGAATCGACGACGGGCGGGCGCACGCGGCGGAGAAATCGACCGACGACCGCGCGCGCGCGTCGGCAGAAAGGCGACGGGCGCGCTGAGAGGATTTGTCGACGGGCGTCCACGGGAGCCGTGACGCACAGGCGCGCGGAGAGCGCGATGGACTGGTGTGCGCAAACGCGGAGGGCGCGCGACGGGAGGGCGCGACGGGAGGGCGCGACGACGGACCGCACGACGGAGGAGCGCACCAACGGGCGCAGTAGGAGGATGCGACGGCCGGAAGCGCGTCGTCAGGCGCGACGGGAGGCGCACGACGGAAGGGAGAGCGGGCGCGGCAAAAAGGCACGCGACGGGAGGAAGAGCGGGCGCGACGGAGTAGCGCGGCGAGAAAGGGCGCACGGGGGGCGCGGGAAGTAGCCTAAGGAAGGGCTAGACTTCGAAGATGAGGAGGGACAGCATAGGGCCGTGCTAGTTAGGATCGAATCGAGGTGGCGTGAGCCATTGTGGCTCTGAATACCATGAAGGAACTAGCTTGGAAGAGAAAAGATTGGATTGAGTAGGGAGCCAAGAGGCTCTTTTTGTACAAAACAAGGAGCAAGAAAGAGTTGGAAGGGAAGCTCTCCTATTGGCCATAAAGTGGACCAATGGGGGAGGTTGCTTGTAGGGCAAGCAACCACAAAAGTGTGGTGCTCTCCTATTGGTCACAATGTGGACCAATGAGAGAGATTGCTTGGAAGGCAAGCAACCACAAAGTGTGGTGCTTGGTGATTGGTTGGTTCCTAGGACCAAAGACCATTTGGTTGGAATAGTGCCAACCAAATGTCTAGGACCAAATCCAATCTTGACCAACCCAAATGTGGGGTTGGTCAACCCAACCAACAACCCCCCAATAATTATAATGACTACACCTCCTAATCTAGGCATGCATGTTGTATAGATATATATTTTACAACAACTGCATGTTAACAAACGCCTCGGGCCCCCGCGGGGACCCCCATTCTGTAAAACCGCCTAGGAGTGCCCGCTTGTATGTCCTGGTTGTGACAGTGGCCGGTCTGAAGAGTCTTGCCATCCCCTAACACGCGGCCGCAGCCGCCGGTGCGAGCTGCCACCAGCAAGCAGATGAGAAATGAACTGAGAACTAAACAAGGACTCAGTAAACAGGGGGGGCTTATATGGGCTCGGGAGCAAGGCTCAGGGGCTCTTTCCTCTCTCCCGCCACCAGCAAGCAGATGAGAAATGAACTGAGAACTAAACAAGGACTCAGTAAACAGGGGGGGCTTATATGGGCTCGGGAGCAAGGCTCAGGGCTCTTTCCTCTCTCCCGCCACCAGCAAGCAGATGAGAAATGAACTGAAAACTAAACAAGGACTCAGTAAACAGGGGGAGCTTATATGGGCTCGGGAGCAAGGCTCAGGGGCTCTTTCCTCTCTCCCGCCACCAGCAAGCAGATGAGAAATGAACTGAGAACTAAACAAGGACTCAGTAAACAGGGGGGGCTTATATGGGCTCGGAGCAAGGCTCAGGGGCTCTTTCCTCTCTCCCGCCACCAGCAAGCAGATGAGAAATGAACTGAAAACTAAACAAGGACTCAGTAAACAGGGGGAGCTTATATGGGCTCGGGAGCAAGGCTCAGGGGCTCTTTCCTCTCTCCCGCCACCAGCAAGCAGATGAGAAATGAACTGAGAACTAAACAAGGACTCAGTAAACAGGGGGAGCTTATATCGGCTCGGGAGCAAGGCTCAGGGGCTCTTTCCTCTCTCCCGCCACCAGCAAGCAGATGAGAAATGAACTGAGAACTAAACAAGGACTCAGTAAACAGGGGGAGCTTATATGGGCTCGGGAGCAAGGCTCAGGGGCTCTTTCCTCTCTCCCGCCACCAGCAAGCAGATGAGAAATGAACTGAGAACTAAACAAGGACTCAGTAAACAGGGGGAGCTTATATGGGCTCGGGAGCAAGGCTCAGGGTTCGTTTCCTTGCTTGTTTTTCTTCCGGGTCAACCAGGTGTGCTTACACACTGTGGCCATGGTGCAGTGCCGCTCATTATGGGAAGTGTCTTGCAGAACGGCAAGGCAGGCAGACATGGATGAGGAGGCAGAGGGGGAGTTCGCTCATGCTCCGCTGCCCGCCCCTTTCCCCCTCCCTGCTTTGCTTCCTTGCCTCCCAACCAGGTGTGCCTGCACACAGTGGCCATGGTGCAGTGCACGCTCATTATGGGGAGCATTCTCAAGAACGGCAAGGCGTATGTGGACGAGGAGGCAGAGGAGGAGTTCATGTTCCGCTGCCTGCTCTTCGTCCGCTCCTTCTCTCTCGGGGACCGCCCCCCGGCCCCCGGCGCACGTTTGAGGCGTTCTGGGAGTACAGGTGAGGCTGGTGGGTGGAGGTCACAACAAAGTTGAATCCTTCTGGGAGTACAGGTGAGGCATGCGAGGGCTCTGCTGGGGTAAAGCTGCTGGTGGTTCATGTTCCGCTGCATGCACTTCGTCCACGCCTTCTCCCTTGGCAATCGGCCCCGTGCGCCTCGACGCACGTTCGAGGCTCTCTGGAAGTGCAGGTGAGGCCTGTGATTGGGTTCCCTGTTGGTGCTACGTAGTAGTGTTGAGAGGAAGAGTTCCGATTCTGCTGCTGGGATTGAGCCCTATTTAAGTTACTGTTCCGTTGCCTGCTCCTTATCCTCCGCTTTCCTGTATTTTTCGCTCGATCTTCCATCACCCGACATCGTTTTTTTTTGGTTACGTTTTTTTTTTTTTTTTTTTTTTTTTTTTTTTTTGGGTTACCATGGAAATGCAACTGCTTGGTTGTTGGCTTATGCTTGCATTTCTGGCATGGTATGATATGGTATGACGTGCATTGAGTACCATGACACAGCATGGCATGGCATGGCATGGCATGGCATGGCACGGCATGGCATGGCACGGCACGGCATGGCATGGCATGGCACGGCATGGAATGGCACGGCATGGCATGGCTTGCCCATGTATGAATGAATCCCGTTAAGGTGTGAAGATGATTGGCGCAAGGCATTCAACTACTTCACATGGGGTAAGTCCACAGTATGATGAGGCAGTTATGGTGTGGCATAGTTAGTAACGCACGGCATGGCATGTCCATGTATCACCCACTCCCTTCATTTTTGAAGTTGTTTATATGACTGGCGAAAGGCAATCAGATGTTTCACGTCACATGCATGGGATGAGTGCGCCCCTTAACGTTCCACCCTCCTTCCATCTCTTTCATCCATGCCCCTCCATGCCCCTCCATGCCCCTCCATGCCCCTCCATGCCCCTCCATGCCCCTCCATGCCCCTCCATGCCCCTCCATGCCCCTTCCACTCATACCCCGTTCGCCCCATGCCCACCCCTTCCACGCCACTCAACAGGAATCTTCTCGTTTCTCCTCAGCCTCATTCCTATTGGGTACGTCCGTTTGTGTTGGCTACCTTTTTCCACTCTCCTCTCCATCTGATTTCGAGGCGCCTCCAAAACCGCGTGACAGGAGTCTAGGGTCGAGGCGTCTCAAAGCTACATGTGTGTTGGCTACCTTATCCCACTCTCCTCTCCGTCTGATCATAGACAGTACCTTCCCTCCTCTGCTCAACTTCTCATTCTAGTTTTTCCCTCTCTCCTGCTCCGATTCTATCAATTTCTGCTTGTCATTCCTCTCTCCTCCCTCCCCCTCACTCCCCCCCTCCCCCCCCCCCCCCACACTTCCGTTCACTGCTCGCCCCTCTCACTCTCTATCCCCAGTTGGATTAAGTTCAACTTCTCATCGTTCATCCCAGCAGTCTTCATGGCTATTGTCGTCTGCTCCATGGCTCTCTGGTGAGTTGCCCTTCTGGTGAGTGTAGCAGGACCCCCCATACAACGGCTAAAATCAAAACACATGTATTGTCTGCGCTTAGGCAAATGTCGTCACGTTTAGAGGGCCCCTTCATTGTCCCGTGCAACATGCACCCTTCCCTTTTCTTGTAACACATGCATTCCCTTCTTCCCTTCTCCCCATTTCCTCTCATTCTGCCCTCCCTCTGCTACCTCCCTCCCAGGGCCTCCCTCTGCTCCCTACCACCAAGGGCCGTTGCCACTTCGACTCGCTCCTCTCTGACGCTGAGGCCTTCAGAGTGCGACCCTCAGGCCTACCCTTTAACCATCCCTTGTTACACCTTCCCCACTTCTACCTCCCTCCCAGGGCCTACCAGCAGGTGTCATGGGGAGCCTACCTCACCAAGGGGCGCCGCCACTTTGACTCGCTCCTCTCTGACGCCGAGGCCTTCAGAGTGCGACCCTCCGGGCTGCCCTTTGACTGGCACATTGCGCCGGAGGCTTCTAGAAAACGCAGCTCTGCGCATAAAACGGGGGGTGGGAGTGGGAGAGAGGGGTGTCATCGAGCGATGCAGCGTCAACAGGTTTGACCGAGTCCAATTCGGCTTCGCGGCGTGGGAAGCGGGTCGAAAACGATTCACAGGGGAGGGGAAGGGAGGAAAGGGACGAGCGGGCGATCAAACAAGAAGGGAAGGATGTTCCTGTCCACGAGAGCATTGGTGCTCTTGGTGGGGGAAGTGCGCCTCTGACGAATCCAGTCTCGGTAACTGGTCAGGAGAAGCCGTTACTTAATGGCGGTGCTGGGGATGCTAGAACATACCCTGTGGGTGATGACACTGGTGATACGGCCTTGACTTCGACCAGTGGCGCCGGTGGTGAAGGTCTGGGTCAGCTCAAGAGTGCCACTGGTGGTGTAGGTTTGAGGCGCCTCAAGAGTGGCACTGGTGGTGGTGGTGATGCGCCTCTTGCTCTGAGTGCGAGCGATGTCAAGCAGCTTCAACATGCCGGTAGTAGCAGGTGTGAGATCAGTGAGGTGCAGGAGTGAAAGAGTTGCTGTGGGGTTCTTTCATCCAACTGTACAAAAGTATCACAATCACAACAATCCAGTCCAGGATTAGTAGTACATGTACAATGTACAAGTGCACCCCCTTAGTACTACCGGTCGATAGGTCGGGGTACGCAGGCCAATCAGCTAATGCAAGTGAGGCGGGTGATTTGCCAGCATTCTTGCCTTGTCCCCAGTGACTCTTAGATACAACCCACTCCATATCTCCTCTCCTGTATGTCAACAAACATATATTCTGTATAGACACATATCTAGTTAGTTTATATATGTTTGTTATAGCCTAGCTAGATCAGTTCTTAGAGGGGACAATATTTGTACTTGTATCTTCCCTCCCCTCTTCCTAGCCACACCTTTTTTCCTGCTACTCTAACATGGTATTGAGCTAGGTCAGGATTTTATTTCCGTCGTTACTCACGCTTCCGCCGTTACCTACTGTCGACTCTTTTTTTCGCGCATGTCCATTTCGCGCACCTCCCCCTCTCTAATTTCGCGCACCTCCCCCTCTCTTTTTTTTCGCAGTCTCCAAATTCTCCCCCCCCCCCCCACCCCACACCTAGCGTTCCCCTCGTTTCGTACGCTAGCCAGCCGGCAAGCAAGCCACCTGGCAAACTCGCTCGCCAACCAGCTCGCCTCCCAGCTAGCTTCCTAGCTCGCCCGCGCCACCTGCGCCAGCCTGCCGTCCAGCCCTTAGCCTGCCGTTTCGCGAGTGCTGGCCGCTGCCGGCCTCTGCTCGCCACTCGTGTTTCTCGCCAGTCAGCTAGCCACCCGCTCGCTAGCTAGCCAGCATGTAAGCCAGCTAGCTAGACAGCCGCATTAGCCAGCCGCGTTAGCCAGCCGCATTAGCCACTGCAGCTACTGCTGCTGCCACTAGTTCCGCCGCTGCCGCTGCTGCCTGTGCCACTGCCACTGCCGCCGCTACTGCTGCAGCTGCCGCTGCAGCCACTGCCGCTGCCGCAGCCGCCTCTGCCACTGCAGCCACTGCCTCTGCCGCCACTGCTGCTGCAGCAACTGTCTCTGCCACTGCAGCCACTGCCTCTGCCACCACTTCCGCTGCCGCAGCCGCCTCTGCCACTGCAGCCACTGCCTCTGCCGTCACAGCCGCTGCCGCAGCCGCCTCTGCCACTGCAGCCACTGCCTCTGCCACCACTGCAGCCACTGCCTCTGCGGCCACTGCCGCTGCAGCAACCTGCACTGCCGCTGCAGCTGCTGCCCTTTAAGTCGCCGCTGCCGCCACTGCCCTTGCAGCTGCAGCTGCCGCCGCTGCCCTTGCAGCCGCCGCTGCCACTGCTGCCCTTGCAATTGCTGCTTCAGCTGCTGCCCTTGCAGCGCCACTTCGCCGTTGCCCTTGCAGCTGCCACTGCCGCCGCTGCTCTTGCAACAACTGCTGCCGGTGCTGCCGTTGCAGCAGCCACTGCAGCTGCTGCCCTTGCAACGCCGCTTCCATCCCTGTCCTTGCAGCCGCTGCTGCCGCCACTTCCCTTGCAGCCGCCGCTGCCGCTGCTGCCCTTGCAGTGCCACTTCCGCCGCTGCCGCTGCCGCCCTTGCAGCCGCTACTGCCGCCGCTGCCCTTGCAGCAACTGCTGCCGCCGCTGCCCTTGCAGCCGCTGCTGCCGCTGCTGCCCTTTGCAGCCGCCACTGCCACCGCTGCCCTTGCAGCTGCCGCTGCCACCGCTACCCTTGCTGCTGCTGCTGCCGCCGCTGCCCTTGCAGCTGCTGCTGCCGCCGCTGCCCTTACAGCCGCCTCTTCCGCCACTGCCCTTGCAGCTGCCGCGCTGCCTCCTGCAGCTGCCAAAGCAGCTGCTTTTGCTTCCAGCAGCCACTGCCACTGCAGCCGCTGCTGCCACCACTGCCGCGGCTAGCCTGCAGCCGCGCAGCCACCTCCGCTAGCCAGCTTGCAAAGCCGTCGCCACTAGCCAGCTCACCGCTGGCCCGCCGCCATCGCCACCCCGCTGCTAGCTAGCAGCCGCCGCTGCCACCGGTTCCCACTGCAGCCCCTGTCACTGCTGCCCTTGTAGCAGCTGCCCCCGCTGTCCCTGCATCTGCTGCCTCTATCTTCACGGCCGCAGCTGCCACCACAATCGCCAGCATGGCGTCTCCCGGTGCCTTCGTTCTGCGCCTGGATGGGGAGGGGCGTGCAGTCAGTTTTGCCACCTGGCAGGAGGCAGCTCTCCTGCAGCTCACGAGTCAGCGCGTCAACGACGAGTCCCTGGACGCCCACGTCTGTGGTGAGCCCCCTGCTGTCCCCCGCCCGAGCGCTCTTGCTGCTGACGCGACGTCTGCGCAGCAGGCTGTGCACGCTGCTGCTCATACTGCCTATTCTGACTGGGTGTCTCGCGACGCCATTGCTCGTATCGCCATCCTCAGGTGCATGCCGGTTGACAAGCACTTCCACTTTGTGGGTGCTGCGTCAGCCCGCGCCTTCTAGCTGGCTATCCTTGCTAGGTACTCCACCTTGTCGTCTGCCACTCTTGGTCGTCTCCTCCTCCCTTTTTTCCACCCTGACATGACGTCCTTCACTACTGTAGCAGACTCAGTCGAGCACCTGCGCTCCCTCGAGGTACGCTGGCTTGCGGCCTGTACAGAGGCCCAGCTAGCGCTCGCCCCGCCCCCTTTTTTCGTCATCATCTATGTCCTTGTCACCCGCTTCCCTGACCGCCTAGCCCCTGCTCACGACGCACTCCTCGCTCGTCACCCCTTTGAGCTCACCCTTGACCTTTTCTCCACCTCCCTGACTGAGATAGCGGACTGCCTCCGCGCCATCGCTAGTTCCACTGGCGCGCCGGCAGTCTCTATCTTTCAGGGCAGCGCTCCCTCCCAGGTGACTGTCCCTCCTGCCTCCGCCTCAGTAGCCGAGACTACAGCGGCTGCCTCTGCCCCTAGCCGCTCCTCTGGCGGCAAGGGCAAGGGCAAGGGGGGCAAGGGTTGTGGGGGTCGGGCGCAGCGGGTGGAGGGGGTGCGGGTACAGATGGAGAGGGTGGTTAGTCGGAGTCGGGGACTGCACAGCAATAGCAGCAGCCATGGGGGCTGGCAGGCCCTGGGGGTGGTGGCCATGGTGGAGGTCATGGGGGTTGGGCTACAGGACAGTCGGTGGGGGTCGCGTGGCTCTTCTGTGAGCCAGGCTGCTGGTGGTTCTGGAGGCGCGGTGACTTGCACGTACCAGCTGCTGACCGGCCCGCAGGCGCGCCAGGTATGCGGGCACGCGGGGCACATGACCGCTCGCTGCTTCCGCCGCCTGGACGACCTCTACCGCCATCATTTGACCTGCTGGTGCAAGTACCCCACTGGCATGCCTTGCTTCGTTATGGGGTTCCCATCGTTGATATGGATATGATCCAGATAGATCAAGCATTGTATTCTCTGTATTATTATGCTTCTAGTGTTGCTGGATCATATTATCCTGCTGTTTATAGCCTAGGAGCTATTGCTGTGTGTAGTCTAGGATCCCCAGCTACGTCAGGCATAGATTCCCTTACTGCGTCATGCGTAGGATCGATTACATAATCTTCACGGGGCCCCGCCACGTCGGCCATCTCCTTTGTCCTAGAATCTGGCGCATTTCGCTGCTTCGTTAGAGACAGAACTACTCTCACCCTGCTTCCTGCACCTGTCCGCGTCGCGCTAGCAGATTCTATCGGCACAGCTGTCGTGCGTAGCACCACCAATCTCCCCTGTCTGGCTATCCCTTCCAGCTCCCTCACCGGTTTGCACATCCTCCCGTTTGCTGGGAACATAGTAGGTGTCGGTCACCTCTAGGATTGAGGCGTCACCACTACGTTCCTTGGCCGCGAGAGAAACGCCGCTTGCACAATCGTAGCCATAGGTCGCCACTTAGCCACTTTTGAGCATGATCAAGGACCAGGTCTTTTTACACTGCACACCGAGTCCCCCCCGGCTGCTGCGCCTGCCGAGGTCGCTGCGCCCTGCTCCTGTCGCTCACTAGCCCACCCGAACCTTCTATGGCACCACCGCTTAGGTCACCCTGCCCTCCCGCGTCTTAGGCATATGTCCCAGCACGATCTAGTCACTGGTCTCTCTACATCGCTCCCGCCCTGCCTACATCTGAAGCGCCACTGTGCACCTCCTGCGTCGGAGGCCGGCAGCGCACCGCCCCTGACTCCTCCTCATTTCCCCCTACTATAGCACCGCTTCTGACACTGCACATGGAGTGTTTGGGGCCCTGCTCCGGTCCATGGTCTTGGTCGGGAGCGCTACTTCCTCATCGTCGTTGACGACTTCTCGCGCTTCACCACAGTATTCCCGTTGGATAGGAAGGCCGACGTGCCTACTGTTCTCCTCCCATGGGTTCTTGCTGTTTGCACACACCACTGTCTGCCTGTATGTCGCTTACACTTTGACCGTGATGGCAAGTTTGCGTCTGGTACCTTAGGACAGTTCTGTAGTGCGGAGGGCATTCGCAAGACGTATACACTGCCGGATTCCCCACAGAAGAATGGGGTCGCTGAGCAATGCATCACCCTGGTCACGGAGGTAGCTCGCACCTCCATAGTCCTCGCCGGTGCACCCCATTTTCTGTGGCCATTCGTCGTGGGCTACGCTGCTCACCAGCTTAACTTATGGCCCTGCTCCCAGCGCCACTGGTTTTGCCGACCCTTCTCTGGACCGGATCTCCTGGTAACGCGTCTACGTTCCACGTGTGGGGTGGCCTTGCTCACATCCACGACACTGGCGCGGACAAGCTCTCAACCCGCACCATTTCTTGTGTCTTCCTGGGGTTTCCGCTTGATGCCCCTGACTGGTTGTTCTACCACTCTTGTGGCGTGACCTTTGACGAGACGCTCCCCTATTACCGGCGCTTCACGCATCACAGCGCTCATATGCCTCCTCCTCCTCTCTTCCTCATGCCTGCCTCGCCTGCCGTACCCCTCCCACGGCGTCCGGCCCAATCTGGTGTCTCCCACTCTACTCAGTTCCCCTCGGTTGGGCCCGTACGGAAGTCGGCTGACTCTGGGGGCCCTGCTCCTGGGGGTGCGCCTGCTGTCCGTGTGGCTCCTCCCTAGCCTCGGTACCCCAGGCACCTCAGTCGCCTCCCCCCTTGCCTCTAGCAGTAACAACCGTCGACGCAACAGTCTCATTGGCCGCAGTAGCAGCAGTAGCAGGCAGGGAGTAGTGGGCGCTGGGGGTGCTTGTTCTGGGGGTGCTGGTTCTTGGGGTGCTGGTGTTGGAGGTGCTGGTGTTGGGGGTGCTGGTGTGGAGGAGTTGGTGTTGGGAGTGCTGGTCCTGGGAGTGCTTACTCTGGGGGTGCTAGTTCTGGGGGTGCCAGTCCTGAGGATGCGGTTTCAGGGAGTGCCGGTGGTAGCCGAGGTGGAGCTGG